GTTGCGTCGGTCTTCGTCAGCCGTCGTTGTGCTGCCATGCCCCCGGCTGGCAGAGGGCAATGAGCAGGTTTTACCATTTTCATGTTTACTTATTATTTACTTCTTCGTTGCAACTGCAATATGCTTAGGCTTCGTTACACAACTGTCACTAACATTTTTGATTTTTTTGAGAGCTATAATGAAGGTTAATTTAATGCAAAAAATATTTTATATATACAGTGGCACCTCTGGTCACGAACAGCTCTTCTCACGAACACAATTTCTGAACAGATTTTGACCGGTCCGCGGCGTTATGGTCCATGGGGGGTTTTTGTCCATGAGGAGTTTTGTCCGGTTACTCCAAAGTCATGTTTAGGCGTTCGTGCGCCGAGGTATTGTGCGCTGATCGAGTCAAAATTTGTTTTTGTTCACGGGGCCTTTTGTCCGCTTACCCCAAAGTCATGTTTGTGCGTTCGTGCGTTGAGGCCTTGTACGCAGGTCGAGTCGAGGTTTGTTCGGAAATTGTGTTCGTGTATCGAGTTGTTCGTGACTAGAGGCTTTCGAGACTCGAGGTACCACTGTATATGAAAGTTTACGATTCACCTCCCAAGTGAAAAAGTTAATGTGGCAGGGAAAAGGTCATATTAGAAGAAGTACTGATCATCGTAAGAAAAATGAGACGCTACATTGGGTTCCAGGAGCGGATGAACGACCCGTGGGAAGGTTTTCAGATCATCGTTGAATGAGTTGAAGAAATTAATCAGATAAAGATGTAGAAGAACGGAGAAAGCATGGATTTTTTGGGAAAGTCTTGGAAAGATCCTTATTCAAAAGTGAATCGAAGGTGGTTATGATGATGATGATGATGATGTTGATGATATGTACATTTATTTTACTCTTTCAAATGGTCTACTTAAATTCGATTAATGATTGTGATTAATGAATAATCGCTATGCAAATATCAGCTTAAATAATGTGGTTACGTTCAGAATTTAACGTTATATATGAATTTAGTTTTATAAGACGTAATGTTTAAATTTTAACTTACTAGCATTGTGTCGATTGACAATTTAAATGTCGAACTCTGTAGCGCATGAAGAGTCTTTGACGAGTCTATGCAATGTAATTCCGGTGCTTTTCGCTGCGCTGTTTTGATGGGCTGTCGAAAAAATATTTTACTGATTTTCATGATTATGTGAACTGTCAGAGGTTTCAGTCGCTATCATTGGATTTATAGACCCACAGGGTGCTAAATGATCAGATTTCGAGCATGGCGTATGACGAATTCTGCAAGAATGCTGTGCAGTACACCTTAGATTCTGTTCAGAGTAGTAGGCGTTCTTTCAAAAAAGTTCTCAGGATGACCTAGGCACTAATGTTTTATTAAAGTTTACAAATACTAATTTGCTTAAATCTATTTATTCAATGCAGATTTTAAATTCTTTATATATTTGAAAAGATGTAACTATATTCGTTTAATGTGTCATTATAAATATTTAACTAGTTTATATCGGATTCAAGGAGTGCGCAACCACTTTTGAATCCGGAGGGTCAGGTCAAACTTGGTGTAGTTGTCTTCCGATTTTTTTCGATGATGTGCTCTGTTTTGGTTCCCTACGTTCGTGG